GGGGACCTGGCGCCACACGGGCACTCCAGGAGGCGGGAGCAGGAGCATAGTGGGGGTAGGGTATCTAGCTAGGAGGGAGGGTACAAGGAGGAGACTTGGGTAGGAGTTGGACCTCCCTGGTCTGGCACCCTCTGGACCTGACTGGTTCCAGAAGAGGATTTTTTTGGACCAGGGGAGGTCATTTCAAGGCTCCTGGTTCCCTCCCTCCCCACTGGGCTTCTTTGCACCTCCCTCCCCTGCAACCCAACTGAGCTGCCCATCCCCACTGGTTCCCTGCACCTCCCCCAAAACCATCCCCCGCAATCCAAGGGAGTGCAGCTCCAGTTCCCTGCAGCCCCTCACAGCCCAGCTAAGCTGCCCTTCTGTTCCCTGTGCCTTCCCCATCCACCTCAGCCCAGTTGAGCCCTGCACTGGTTCCCTGCATGCCTCCCCCGCAGCACAGCTGAGCCCCATTTCCCTGCACCTCCCCCTAAGCCCTGCAGAACTGCTGATCCCAGCTCTGATTTCCTGCCCTTCCCTCCCTCCCTCCCCTTGAGTCTAGCCCCAGATTCCCAGCACCTCCCTTTTCCTCCATCCAAACTGAGCTCTGAGCTCCTCCCTCCCCCGCAGCCCAGCCCAGCTCAGCCCAGCACCCCGCACCTCTTCACCCTTGCAGCCCAGCTAAGCTCTGTTTCCCTGCACCTCTCCACAAACTGCGCAGACATGCTGAGCCCAGTGCTGATTCTTTGCCTCTCCCTCCCTCCCCTTGAGTCCAATGCCAGATTTCCGGCACCTCCTTCCTCCTGCAGCCCAGGTGAGTCCAGCGCCCCACGCAAAACCCAGCCCAGTGCCTCCCTAGCATGGCGCCTGGGGGGGGCAACTGCACCCACTCCCTTCTTGCTATGCCTCTGCCAGGAGCCTGGAACATCTGGCTGCATCCTCTGCCCAGCCCGGCCCAGGGCTTGGGGGACCCAGTGCCGCACAGGCACTCTGGGAGCCCGGAACACCCTGGCAGCCTTGCTGAGGCCCGTTATTTTTTCCCACGGTCCGGTACCAGGATGCATCCCATAGTTTGGGAAACGCTGCTGTAGTGGAAAGCAGCTGTGACCACTGCTTCTTGGGGAGATCTGTTCCTGGTCCAACTCCACTGAATTCACCAGTGTGTCGAAAAAAGATAGAGAGGACGGAAAGGGCTCCCATCAGCTGCAGAATTTGGGGAGAGAAAACTCCAAATATAATTATTCTTGCTTTTTCTAAATGAAAATACCACATGGGTAGTAATCTATTCCTGTACAATGTACAACTCTCATTACTTTCAGGATCAAATGAAGTTTGATATAAACAACTGTAATGTTATCAGATACATTAACACAAATAATGCTGCATTTCTAAGACAGCATGGGGACCCTAGAAAATGAACCCCCAGTGTCCAAACACCAAGCAACATGCTGTGCGAAGGGAGATAATCCTACACATCACTGAAAAAATTACTGTTTAAAGAACTGCTGGGTAAAAAATTGATCAAGTTATGCATACACAAAGGGCTTTTCATTGATTGCCTTTTTGAGGCAGGAAGAATTACATGTCGGGGCTCTTTAGAATTCCTCTGGTTAAGTCTGTGATTGTAGATGAAGTTCAACAAAATTTTAAAAATCTTATGCAATATATGATGTTGCCTCAGGCACTCTGCCCCAGAAAGAAGAGTTAACTCTGTTAGAAATATTGTATCTAGCATGTTTTTTATTCTGTCTTACGAAAAATGTTCCTGTATTATGCTCATTTTCCTTATCTTGTGTTCTCAAAGCTTAAGCTGTAGTGCAGAGTTATGAAGAAGCAAAGTCTGGTCACTTCTAGCTTTTGGGGCTTGTTTACTTTTGAATGAGATCTAGCACTGTGGTACAGAGCTTGTTCTGTTTCTAATGGACAAGAATTCTACTTTAAATAATGTAGGAAATTATTGCTTTGGGGCACACAATGAGACTTCCTGCTCCGGTCAAGAAAACACACCTTCCCATTGTCCTTCTCTGTCATGTCACTGAATGTTCATTCTCTTCAAAAGTATTGGTAATTGCTACCATGGGAACAAAACAAAAACATGGTGTGGCAGCTATTCTCAGTGTTTTATATAGGAATTCTGCTTGTTTATTAGCCTGCTGCAGTTTAATGACTCTCTATGACTTAAGCTGAGCACAAAACAATCGGTTTGCTGCCATCTGTTTGTTGCATGGTGCTGTAGGGTGGGGCATCTGATTTTTTTTGTTGTGTGGGGGTAATCATCATTAGAGCCAGTAGGAAAAGACAATCCATTTGCCTCTTGCTATTATATTAGTACTTAATGACTGCACAATTAACTTCTGTAGCAAGAAGTGAATTCTGTGGAATGCTTGGGGAATCTGGTTATAGTTGAACTACTTTCTTATGTTGCAGAGAAGCTAGACCAGGCCTGGGCAAAATACGGCCCATGGGCTAGATTTGGCCTGCCAGGCCAGTGGATCCAGCCCATGGAGGCAATGGGGAGCCCCAGGCAGACTCCCCTGATTTCCCACAGTCCCAAATGCCGCTCAGAAATGCAGTTGCGGGGCTCTTTCTCTTTCAGTCTGGATGGAGGGGAGAAGATTCAGACTCTACTCCCACCATCAGCACAATCTCATTGGCTGGTTTCTGGACAGACACTGGCCAATGGGAGCTGCCTGTTTGAATAACAGGCAGCCACAAAGCACAAGCCACCTGCTCACTCACTCAAGCACATGGCCGAGCAGGCGCAAACATTGAAAGCTCTGCAAGACTTTAGCCCTGCAGGCAGGCAGCCAGGCTAGTAAGGCTCCTGGCAAGAACCTGCCTCTGGCACCTCAGCCCCTCCCTTCCCCAACCCTGTGCCCCACACTCCTGCCCTGCTATTCCACATGCACCTATACCCCCTCCCAGATCTGGCACCCCATCTCCTGCCTGAGATCACAATCCCCTCCTACCGTAGGTCACATCCCAAAACTCTGCACCCCAGTTCCCACCCGTAGGTCACAACCACCTCCTTCACCCAAACTCCCTCCCAGACTCCAGTCTCCCTCCTGCACTCTAATCCTTTACCCCAAGCTCCCTTCTGCACCCCCAGACCTCACATCTCCTCCATTAATACCATGGAAGAGTGCGGCCCTCAACCACTTTCCAAAATCTTGGGAGTGGCCCCCCATCAAAAATTATTGCCTACCCCTGAGCTAGACAATGTGTTTTAATGCTCAGTCTCACCTAAACTAGCTCATACTTTGTATTTGGAATTTTAATGATCATTCCATGTGATTTGGGATTGACAAGTTTGCCGGGTGAGAGTGTAAAGAGATGCAGCACAGACAATATATGGAATAGGTACGTGAATGACTAGTTGACTATCCGATAAGCAAATGCTTACCGGATAGTCGACAGGATAATCGACTAGTCACTTCCTCCCCCCCGCCCCCTTGCTGCCTCTGTCAGGAATGTAGGAAACAGCTCAGTCAAGGGCTAGAAAGGGAGCTGCTTTCCCAGGCAATAGTTTGACTGGGGCTTTAAAAAGTGAATTACTTGGAGGTGCTTGCTTCCTTGCCTCCTTTCCTCCCCATGTAAACGAGTCTTGTGTGAACATTGTAAATAAATAAATGGGAATAACAAGTACCCTGAGTCTTTGTCCCTAACTTCATTTTTACCAAATAACTGGCACATACCAAGGCCTGGTGTCACTGCCTCTCAGGAAACGGGGACAGTAAATGTCTGACTCTCAGTTTGTCTCTTATATAGATGAGGTCCTTGGTTTGTGACTCCCAACCCAGTCTCCTAAAGTCCCCCATAATCAAATATCTCCAGGAGCTGAGACTTTAATGAAAAAACCCCATTATCACGAGACTTGAGATAATATTGAAAGTTGGCCACCTTGGAATGTGGGTAAAATATGATTCCTCTCAGGGCAATGTACAGAAATCCTCTTACAGTTTTCTTCCAAGAATTTCTCTGTGGCTTGTATCTTGAGGTGGGGAAAAAGGGGTCTATAAAGGTTTCAAAAGTAACTTGAAAATAATGCAATTAGTTTGTTCCCTGTTAGATTTTGGGTAGGTCTACATAGCAACATTATTTTGAAATAACTAGTGTTATTTCAAAATAACTTAGTCTGCATCCTCACAGCAGGCAGTTATTTTGAAATAATGTTGAAATACTGTCAAGCTGGAGGGCGTCTTACTCCAACTCCTGCAAATGTCTGACTGTCAGTTTGTCTCTTATATAGATGAGGTCCTTCATTGTACGAGGAGTAAGGGAAGTCGGAGGAAGACTGCTTTACTTCGAAATAAGTGCTGTGTAGATGCTTCTGATTTTGAAATAAGCTATGTAATTGATGTAGCTCAATTTGCATAGCTTATTTTGAGTTAAGCCCTGCTGTCTACAGGAGTTTATAAACATTAGGCAGTAAATACAGGCACCTGTCACAGCTAAAGAATAAGAGAAGCAAAATTCTACTGACTTGGGGGGAAAAATCTGAAGATGTGATGTATTAGGCTCAGCGGTGAGATGTATTAGATGTGGAACAGTTTCTCCAAGGAAGTAATGGTGGCCCCATTGCTTTGGGACTTACAAAAATAGCCTGACAAAACACCAAAGATAAACCTGGTAATTTCCATTTTTAATTCTTTTGATACTGTGACATGCCATTAATTAGTTAAAACTGGGAAGGAGGGTGATGTAGTTGTTCCTTTTGTTAAGATAAAATAAAACTGAAAATCATTTTTCTTATTTATAGTATTGAAAATGTATATAGGCAACTAAGAGGTAAGGGAGAGAAAGAACGTAAGCCATGTAAGTTAGACCAGCATTTCTTCCATTTTATAAATCATAGTGTGCAGTTTATCCCTCCCTCATCTTCAAAAATACAAACTTAAAGGGGAGAAGGACGCTTTAAAATGGCACAATAACATGTATTGAGCAAAAGCTATTGAAAAGAAAAAATCATTGATCTTCATTTTTGTGTGGCTTCTTTGTCTCCTTAACTCACAGTAATGCAGGTAATCGGTGTCCTTTTTGCACATCATTTAGTTGCTTACATTGTTGCCATCACCATTGACCCAGCAGATCAAAATGTGCTGGCCAAGAAAAATTACTGCAGCCCCATGCCAGTCTTTGACAGAAGCAAGCACAAGCACGTCATTCAGAACCAGCACTGTTATCTCTGTGAAGTTGATGTGTAAGTTATGCAATAAAAAAACCCCAAAGATCAGGATTTTCCTTGTTTAAATTCAGAGGCATTTTATATTTTTTCTTTGCTCTTGTGATGTCATGTTCCTGCTGGTGAGCTTAAAAAGAAACCAACCTGTTAGTAAGAAATCTCTGGCTTTCAATTAGCTCTACCTACAGTTGAGGTTGCCTGCTAATTCCCATCGTAAGATCCTGTTTTCATTTTCTTTTAACTTTCACAGACTTCACACTTCAGCCTGAAATTTGCCATACCAGGGGTTTGCTCCAGGATGATTTTAATTTTTCAGCTACACGATTAGGCAACTTCTGAGAACAAAATTAGGGGAATATAAATTGTGCTGTCCATTTTTTTTTAGGAAAAAATTGTCAAAATCACATAGCACATCCATTGTTTCAGAGCAGGGACTTGAAATTTGGCAGGAGGGTTGCCCTGGGATGTGCTTTTGCCTCCCTGTGAAAATGAATCCATGTCTGGCCAAGTTACATGCTTCTGAATAATCTCTGTTTGCAAACACTGAGTGGAGACCTGTAATAGTTTGTCAGCTAAATTCCTAAAAAGTCAGTCAGTGCGCATGCTCCATCCTCTCACAGCTCTGACTGCATAACCACATGCTCTGTACCTGCTCTGCAGAGTTAGGGTATAGCTACATTAGAGAGTTTACAGTGGTGCAGCTGCAACCATGCTCTCTGTGCTAAGCCAATGAGAGAAGCTCTCCTGCCACAACAGCACTGTCCATGCTGGCAGTCACGTCAGCATCACTTACGTCAGTTGGGAGGATAAGGGAGGAGATTTATTCACATACACCCCCGAGCAACATCAGTTATGCCAACATAAGCTGTAATGTAGACATAGCCTTAGAGGGACTTTATCTGAGGTTGTTCCTCTCACTCACCTAGGAATCCTGGGATATCAAACATGAATAGAGTAGGGAGATTGTCTCTTCTGTGCTCTCCTTGCTGGTTCCTGGGCTATATGGAATGACAGCCAGAGGAATCCTGATTACAGCACCGGAGGGCGAGGAATTGTGGTGGGGGTGGAAAGGGCTATGTGCCATGGGCTGCTTGTGATTTTTTTGTTTTCTGTGTAACGTATACACCTGTTGCAAGACATCTGTCTCTCAGAAGCTGCCTGTTTGTCTACAAGAGTGGCCTGTTTTACTGACTAATTCTTATTCCATTTTATTTATATCTTTTTGTTTTTAGAGGGCCAAAAGCCAAACACTGTAGTGCCTGTAATAAGTGCATTGCGGACTTCGATCACCACTGTAAGTGGCTCAATAACTGTGTGGGAGGCAGAAATTACTGGTAAGCCAATACGGGCTAGCTTTGATAATATTGATTTGTCCATGAAATAAATCAATGGGAGCTAAGTGTACTTCCCAATGAACCAGATGCTTTGCCCACCTGCTCCCTTTGAGGACCTTTAACTGCTTAGCAGGGATTTCCAGAGAACATTCCTATGTCAGCAGCCTTTTTTCAGCTGTACAAAAGTGAGATCAAGGTAATGGTTCCTTGGGAGACCAGTTTAAAATATATCCCTTTCCTCGCCCATATAACCCAGGGACATCCAGTTTTACTGTGTTTGCAGTTCATTTCCAATAAGTCAACTGTACCAATCTATATGGTTGCATAAAGTTGCTTGGCCACCATATTGAGTTACAACAGCTATGGCAAATATATGTTCACTCACCAATTTGAGAGGTAATTCTTGTCTTGCAAGCCTTGATCTTTTAATTAAATAATGAGTGCCCTTAGTAGGTATGGTTTGATACTCTACTGTAATTAATAAAAGGTGTGTTTCTAAACATTTCTTTTGTTGTATTATAGGCATTTCATTTTTATTCAAATGTGCAGTATCAGTCCAAAAAGAATACAGTAAAGAAATTAATTTCCTTATTTCTTTATTGGATGTTTATACTACCTAGAACAGAGTGAATAAAAGAAGTGCATAAAATATTAGTTTGAATATTCCATGCCTGATTATATCTTGTAAGGAAGAGAAAATAGGCTGAAGCAAACCAGTGTGATATTTATTTTCCCAAAGCTCCCTTGTTTTTGAATTCTGCATGTCAGTCAGCAGTTTGCAAAGTAGCCAACAATTTATGAGGAAAGCATCTCTAAAGTGAGAGCCTGCTACAGTACTTACTCTATAGTATGTAAAGATAATGTGAGCACTTACAAAAAGAGTCAAACAAAATGTGAGCTTCTTCAGCCCCTAAATATAAGTTATGGTGAAAACTATGTAAATTCTTTGCATTTAAAATGCCAAAAGCTGAATGGAAAAGAAAAAGTTGAACTGTTTGCATAGAAGAGTAACAAAAGGAGTGTGAGAAAAGGGAAATGGCGAAAGTTTGTATTTTGTAGTGAAGTCACAGTAGGTCGAGTGTTTTGCCACACTTCAGAACAGACTCTAGAAAATGAGAAGTAGGTGAGGTTCTTTACTGTGTGCTAGAGAGATGAATGGGGGCTATATTTAGAGGGATTTATTTTAATTTGGTGGGTGAGTGGAACAATCTATTGGCCTTGTCCCATTGCCCTGGCTTTTAGTAGGGGTATAAAGTTGGAATAACAAGTATTTTGTAGTCATTGTGTGGGGGAAAAAAAACTCTTGTTGCCATTATATAATACAATGGGGGCATATACCTTGTTAGGAGACAGACTAGGATTTGTTGGGCAGCAGTGGATGGCTAAGTAGTGGGCCCAAGTACCACAACTGTGTGTTGGAGTCAGAGGCTTATTCTCCTGGGTAACTCCAGTGCAAATGTGGATGATACTTGTGTCCAGAGATGTCATATATACCATGACACCTCCTACATAGATTTTGACTCTGATGATAAAGCTAGCTTGCTTTGGGTTTGATCGCTGATTTGGAGGGATAGGGATGGTAAATGTCCTCATTTTGGTTTGGCATCAGGGCTTACCCTTTGTTCTCTCTGGAATCATTTTATTTGGTTAACTACAAAGATGGATGAGGTTTCAAAGCTCTTTAAAGAAGAATACTCCATATCAATGTATGTGTGCTATTCCTTCAGCAGTCCAGTTAGACATTTGACATCTGCTGTCAGTAGGTTTGTTCTAATACCCCCACGTTTGCACCCTCCTCACAGGGCAAGTTTTTCTTCAGGCAGTCTGAGACAGAGGTAGTGGAAAGACAAGAGCACAAGGTTGAGTGCTGGTGACAGAAACCAAGCTCCAAATCTGATTGATCATATCATAAATCACTTTTGAAGTCTTATGCAATGGCTGTAATGGAGGCAAAAAAGAAGTTTTCTTCTCTTCCATCACATCACAGCCACTGAAGTTACAATTGACAGCACTGGTGAACCTGGGTTTCCTTTTCACAGTACAAACCAAGATTCTCCGTTTTTGTCTATGGAAGTTTTATGTTGTTTGGCTCCTTCTTGGCTAACTTACAAATTTGCCTCTTGTATTCCAGTGGTTTAAAAGTCATTTTATTCCAGTGGTTTAAGTCACAAATTATCAGGTTTAAACATCTGGGTGCTGGAGGCAGGCTGTTTGGTGAGCAGCCAAAGATGCTGAAATTCATACCACTGGGCAACAGAGCCCAATTATATATTTGACCTTTAGTGGATGTCTAAGGGCATATGTTTAACAGGCTTTTGCTTGAGAGGGTAGCCAATAGGGAGTGGAGGAAGTAAAATGTTCATTTGTGTGTGGTTGTGGGTATGTTTTGGGATGTGAATAAAGTATTTTAACTGAGATTGATATAATTTCATCCTTTGTATTTTTTACTTGAATGGTATATTATAAATAAACACACATTATTTCTGTGAAGCTGTATGCCTGGTCATCCTCTGAGTATAGTGCAGTAGTGTGTTTCTCTTATGTACCTAGGTTTTTCTTCAATGCTGTGGCCTCCGCTGTTCTTGGTGTATTCCTTCTGATACTGGTGATCCTATATGTCTTCATCCAGTACTTTGTGAATCCAGCAGAACTACGCACAGCACCTCAGTTTGAAAGTATTTTTCCACTGACTTAAAATATATTATGTGTGCTCTTTATCTTGTTTATCTAATGATACAGCTCCCAGAGATCCAGATATGTATAAACTTAATTGAAAGAAGATGTCAGTAGGACTTCTTAATCAGAAGGATGTTGGTTGACACTAGTGCAGTGTTGGGAGGGTGCAGTGTTTTAAAGGTGTTGTCCTTTAGATAAGACAGTGAGTTCTTGTCTGCCTTTGTATTGTGGTTTTCTTGATGAAAGTTAAAGATTTTATATATCCCCCCCCCCCAAAAAAAAAAAAGATTAGGGAATATAATCCTGTGAGCAGACCACCACATTCCAGAGCCGGTTCTTTAGTAAAATAATTTCCTGCATATGATGGACTTCTGGGTCGAACAGTAGTTGCTGTGTTTGCCTATATAAACTTACTGTGTAAAGCATATGCATTGAAACTGTCTTCATGTTCATCTAGAAGACTTTTAATGCATACAGATATGTCTTAGGAGTACACACAGATATTCAGAGTATGTAAAGTAAAAGTGCTTTTATATACCCTTAAATACTCTGGCATTGTACTGTCCCTAATCTGAAATTTGTTTTTAGCTATATGAAAAACACTCTTAAATACGTCATCTTTTAAAAGATATTTATATTAATTCTTCTGTCTTCCACAACACTGAAAGTGGAGATTTCTTTCAACACAAGGCTTTTTTAAATGGTTTACCACATTTACTAGAGTCAGAGAGGTGTATGACTTCTAGACTTCTAGAAATTACTTGGGGGGGGAGGTTGGGAAGAAGAATAAGTGAATCAGATACTCGTTCAAGTGGGAGTTATTGGAGCCAGATGCAGTATCAGCAAGTGTGATGCAAAGCTTCCCCATCTAGCTCTTCTAGTTATACCCTGATCCTGATCCATAATAACTTCCTACTATTCCATTTCTGAGTCTCTATGAGCAGGAAATAATTGTCCCACATATAGCCAGAGCTTTGTGAGGTGAGTCTGGCTCAGACAACCACATTTGTGACCTGAACTAAGATGTGAATCCAGGTCTCTGGAATTGCTGGGCCAGTGCTCTAAGGTAAAATTTTCAAAAGCCCCTTTAAGTACCGTTTTTTTAAATAGGATGAAGTACTTGGCCTCCTATGTCCCATTGACTGTCAGTTAGACAGCCTCCTGATTCACTTAATTGCTTTCGAAAATTTTATCCCTCATCTGTTACACTCTTCCCACTTTCCAACCTTCAGTTTTTTGAGGAATCAAGAGTAGTCCAAGTAAACAGTGCTAGGAAGTCTGTTTATCCTTCTGATTCTGTTTTAAAAATATCTTTTTTAAATCAAAACAAATACAGGGTGAATAGCCCCATGCAAAGATCGGTCAAAGCCCAATTGTTAGGAGAGCTGCAAGAAAGACTGTGGGTAGCTTGTTTTTTCCTATATCCATAAATCTGAAGTGTTTTATTTCCCCTCTTTACTTTGCCCTGGTAGGAGTCAATGGAAACAACACGTGGTTGGCCTTTCTTCCTCTTGCTCCTGCGGACATTACAGCAGCTGGAATCGTGGCTATAGCAGTGATCACTATGCTCCTGGGAACTGCGTCGCTCCTGCTACTGGGACACTTGTTGCTATTTCATCTCTACCTCTGTATGTAATATTTCTGTCTAAGCAAGTGGGCAAGGATTGTTTCAGGAAAATCCTTCTCAGTCCGTTGTGATCAATGACTATAAATATTCCATCTTTTAATTTGCTGTAGGTATCTATAAACCCAAGTTTATAGATAAAGTTTATAGAAATTTCAGCCTCAATGTCTGAAGTTGGTTAGTTATAAGCAACAGAGAACTGAGAATTATAACTAGAAAGTGTTAAGCAGCTCTGTCCACAGTAACACATGATGTTTTGCATCCCAAATGCAGTTTGGCCAAGAAATTTATCAATAACAGAAAAAGACAAAGACTGATTATTTGAATTAGCTTAATTACCAAAGAGTGAACATCACCCCTAGGGAAGATCCTGCATACAAAACAAAATGTATACTCTTCCTATAAAGCAGAAAGAAATAGTTCTGTTTCATTTTTAAAGGGTTTAGTTTTGCAGAGTCTCAAGAGGGATCAAAGATTCAAAACCCTTTATTTGGTGTTTTAAAATCAAGTTTGCATGTTTTTCCTAAAGATATCATTCCAAGAGAAGTTCTGGGTTTGATGCATGTATTATGGGGTGAAATTTTATAGTTTATAACTAAATAATCATAATCCTTGCTGGCCATAAAATCTATAAATCTTTAACATGCAGACATTCAGAGGTGTTGTAATAATATTTTCTTTAGTATTTATTATTTATTTTAATTGTCCACTGTTTTAGTGGATATACATAGAAGTCCATTAACAATAAAATGCAAATGCATCCAAAGTACATTTTGAGGTACAGTGAAATAGAATGTTTCTATGTGTTACTGGGGTGGGGAAGAACATTGAGGCCAGGTATATTCACTATCAGTGCCTCACTTAAAGCATCCCCTTGCGATTAGTAAATAAGCATAACTATTTAAAATATTTATAATTTTTTTCAAATGTGTTTCCCTAACTGGCTTTCAAAATAATATGAAGCACATGTAATTTCAAAGCTTATGAATGGAACCTGCTTACTTGGCCTCTCCGCTCCCTTCCTTTCTCATTTCTACAAATGTGCTTCAGCTAAAGTGATACAAGAGGTAATGGGATTTTTATCTTGATCATACAGCCAATTGATCTTGTCAGCTGTGCTTTCTCTTTTTGAAAGCGTGCATTGTAAGAAGAACCAGCCTGCTTATACAAAAGACAGGACTATGCAGCACTTGAAAGACTAACAAGATGGTTTATTAGGTGATGAGCTTTCGTGGGGAAGTGGGTCTGGCCCACGAAAGCTCATCACTTAATAAACCATCTTGTTAGTCTTTAAAGTGCTGCATAGTCCTGTGTTTTGTTTTAGCTAGACCAGACTAACATGGCTACACCTCTAATACTATTCAGCCTGCTTATGTCAGATAAAAGGACCAGAGTCGCACAAAGGAGCCTTAAAAGCCCTGGTGCCACCTGAGGGGACAATTCTCCTAGTGCAGACTTTGCAAAAGAGCCAGGAATCCATCTTCCTTTTGCAAGCCCTGGTATGGGGAATGTGCTGGGAGTGGGGCCACAGCACACAGCTTTGCAGAAATTCTGAGCACTACTGTGGGCCTGAAAGCAGACCAGGGTAGCTGCTTTAGCTTTAACGAGCCAACTAACAACCCTAAGGGGTTCTCCAGGGGCATATCCACCCAGATTAGAAGGGTGCAAAGGTGCCACCACATCCCTCCCTCACCCTGGAATGCAAGTTGTGTTCCATGTCTCTTTTTGAAGCATAGTGTGTACACAATCAGCTTCAAATCATTCCATTCCCAGAGCAACATTTTACCACTATGAAATATCTGACCTGGAAAAGCATTCTTGAAATTGGCATATCAAGGAGTATACGAAGCATTGAAAGGGTCTCTTCCACAGCGTGCTTTGCTAAGCTGCAATCCGTACTTTAATTTTAGTGGGTTTTTTCTCTGTGTAGTTATTTTTACCTCCGTAAAGAAAATTAGGAGCTTTTTAGTGTTTCTTGTTTTTCTAGATGGAAATGGATTGATTGCCAGTGATGTGGGTGCATCTTTATTGAAATCCGCAGTACTAAAATAATTATTGACAAGATATTTGACCTTTTTAAACGTGCTTCTTGACAGTGTTTTGCCATAGTCATGTGCTTATTCAACAAGTCAGACTTTGACTTTTATATTATTTTTTAATCATCCTCTGATCATTTTGGCAAGACATGATACATTTAAAAATTGTCCCTACCAGTCGAAACAGGTATTCACATACCTCTTCAAAATTCACTGTTTAGACTCTGTAGGTAGATTGGAAGATATAATTAAACATTCATGATATTCACATCATTGCAAATATTCTTTGAACTTAATAGCCACAAAACTTCTATCCCCAGGAAAAAAACTTTAATAAAGGTGATAAATGGAGATTTATTTATTTTAACATAAGTTTTTTAGAATACCCGAATTCCAAACAAACATTTGAAAATTGTAACACTGCGGTTGGATGGGCCATGCTAGAAGGCAAGAGCTGCTAATGGTGCAGACCTGGCAGGCAGGGTGCTAGTGGCAGTAGCTGCAGTGGGGATGGCCCCACAGAGTTTGATAGTGTGTACATGGGGGACAATGTTGAACGGTACCTCCAGGCCTATGTGCGCAGCCGATTTCTCTAGAGCAGTGCCTCAGCCTACGCAAACTGTTTTGGGAAATGGAGAAAGAACTTGCTTTAAAAAGGCATCAAGGATTTTTTTTTCCTCTCGTCTTCAGGCTGCTTGACCCATTGTTGCTGTTGATTAGGAATGGGGGAGAAAGGGATTTGTGGTTTGATATTCTTCAAATTTTCTAGAGCCACCGGTACAGCAAGCAGCTATAAAAAGTTAAATCACTTGTTTTTCCTGAAATGTATTTCATTTCAAAATGTATTGATCTGAGATAATGGGTGAGAAGAAGCCATTAGACACTTGATCTTTTCCCTTGTTCTCGTGGAAAGGTACCAATTACTGCTAGGGTTGCCAGATGGTTTAACCAAAAATACTGAACCACCCGCCCCCCCCCCAAAGAAAAACACCGGGGAAAAAATTCTGTTGAGGAAAAAAACGGGGGAGACCAAAGTTGTTGAGAAAAAAAAAAGAGGACCCCGAGAATCATTAAGCAAAAAACAACAACGAACAGCATTGCCCCTTTAAGAAAGGCTTTTTGGCCCTAACAGACTGCTGGCGGCCATCCGCCATCTTGAATTCCTGCTCCAGGCCAGACAGCTCCCCTGCAGAACCAGGTAAGCACCTGGTATTTTCGCCTCCTGTCTGGGAAAAAAATCAGAAAATACCAGACAGGAGGTGAAAATTCTGGAGTGTCCAAGTCAATACCGAACACCCGGCAACCCTAGTTACTGCGTAAGATTTAGTGGCAGAAATGTGTGAAAGAAAGTTTTACTGAAATGAGAAACCACATGAATCTTATCTGGTTTCATGTTTAGGCAGAGTTGCTAAGATTAACAATTGGGAGTACATTTTAAGCTTATATAAAAATTGCACAGACTTTTGGCATGATTTCATAATTAAAACTTGGCATTTTGTGTGAATTTTGTGTAAGAACATAAGAATGGCCAGTGCTGGGTCACAGCAACGGTTAAGTTAGTTAAGCATCTGATCTTTCAATAGGGGCCAATGCCAGATGCTTCAGAGTAAATGAACAGATCAGGGAAATTATTGAGTGATCCATTACCTGTCATCCCAGGAGCTGGCTGTCAGAAGCTTTTGAACACCCAGATCATGGGGTTACATCCCTGACTAACTTGTCTGATGGTCACTGATGGATCTTTCTGCCATGAACTATTCTGAACCCAGTTTTACTTTTGGCCTTCACAAAATCCTGTGACAATGAATTCCATAGGTTGGTCATGCTTTGTGTGGAGAAGTACTTAGTGATAGTGGGGTCTTTCTCACTGGAAATTTCAAAGTAAAACTTTAAAGTTCCCATCAGCATGGATTGAAATCAAGGCAATTTCGCTCATAAACAAGGCTAGAATAAAATAGCTCAGTTCAAAAAGCCCTTCTGCTTTTCAAAGCTTAGATGGAAGTTCTTTAACTCTGGGTTTTCCCCTCTTCATCAGCCCTAATATTTCTTTCAATGTTTTCAGGTCTTCCAGGGTGGAACGAGGTGTACAGCTAGTTCGGAATAGGAAGCCTAATCCGAACTAGCTAGTCCGTGCCACGTGTAGCCGCGCGGCACGGGGTCCGAACTAGACGGCATTTAAAAATGGCGCCGGCCGGCATCATGCAAATGAAGCCCGGGAAATTCAAATCCCGGGCTTCATTTGCAACTCAGAATGACTACATTCCCCCCCTAGTTCGAACTAGGGGGGTAGTGTAGACATACCCCCAGAGCTCTAAATATGATATGAGTGCAGTCTCTTGAAAATCTGTCTGTCATTCTGCCAGTAACAACTGGTTGCAGATGCATCACATTGTGCAACATCTCAGGGAACTTGTCCATGTTACATTATTATAAATGTGTTGCTTTACAGTTTTTAGTGACAAATCCCACATGATGATGACTAACGAATCTGAAGTTCATCTCAGCAAATTATCCATAAGGAAATATAATTCTACCGAGTGCTATGATGATTAGATTCTGTTTATGCTAGAAATAAAACAAAAGGATATTTCACACCCTTTCGAGTGTGCTAAATGTAAATGCAGATACAAAGAAATAGATATTTTGGGTTCTTGATTCAGGCAGCATAGGGAGGTTGGATAATCCCGTATACACAAAACGTGGTGGTGGTTTTTGTGCTGTAAATTGTATAGATACATGCGATATGTCTAAATTAAATTGTAGCGTCTATTTTTTGTTGTATACAGTGGGTAAGAAGCTGAGTACTTTTGACTATATAACAGAGCAGCGGCGCATGAAGAATACTAGAGACCTGGAAAGTGATGTGGAAGTAATAGAAAATCCCTCTGTCAGAAAGAATCACCTACAGGTAGGATCTTGTACCCCTGCTTGCATCCAGAAATCCATCTTCTTTTTGTGCTGCCTGTGAATCCTGCAAAGTGTTGTTTTTTTAATTGACATGGTGGACCAGCAGTCTAGGATTCCATCACCCGAACAGGAAGGAATCTTTTCCATAGCTAACAGATGAGCTCAGGAAAAGCTTTCACCGAGTCAGCTAAAATTAGTGATAAGGAAATTTTTGCCCAGCAAATTGTCTTACTGTAGGTAGCTGGACTAAGACAGTTAAGTGCAATCGCATGATGAAAAATGGACCTTAAAGAAAAAAGCAAACAAGCAAAAAAACCTAACCTACAAAACATCATTTAGATCCAGCCTGGGTTCAAATTAAAAAACAAACTGATCCCAGGCTCCACACGGTGCTGCCACTTTGAAACGCCGCGTGCAGCCTGGGGACACCCCAGCTGGCCCTGGGCTGCATGCTGCATTTCAAAGCAGCAGCACCACATGAAGCCCGGGGTCTGGCCCCAGGCTTCAAGTGGTGCTGCCTCTTTGAAGTACCCGTCTCTTTCTAATAGAGGCAGCAGGGAGGGGGCGTGGAGGAAGCAACTAGTTGACTATGTTGATTATCTGATAAGCATTTGCTTTTCAGATAGTTGACTAGTCCTTCACATCTCTAACTTGTACAATCACCTAAATCCAAGAGCTGCAGATTTAAGAAAATCTCAAATATCCCAAATATCATCAAAATTTTGATTAAATCATAAGCAGCAACATAGTAACCTCAATAACACTAGAAGGCAAAATCTTGCAGCTGACTGTGAATTTGTTAATAGTGTACAGGCAGTCCCCGGATTACGTACAAGATAGGGACTGTAGGTTTGTTCATAAGTTGAATTTGTATGTAAGTCGGAACTGGTACATATTGTAGGGGAAACTCTAGCCAAACATTTCTCCAGAGCTCAGTTTTATTCTCCCACACCTCACTTCCCTCAGTCCTTTATTCTCAAGCTGAGGTGTCTGCTGAGAAAAGCCGCTCCGCGTCTCCGTGGTCTGCTGGGAGAGGCACTAGCTTCGCGTCTCCCTGGTCTGCTGGAGGGAAGCAGCTAGTGCGGGGTTGCCTCACCCCGTTTGTAAGTAGGGATCCGATGTAAGTCGGATCCATGTAACCCGGGGAATGCCTGTATTCGTATGGAAGAACACCAGTCTATCGACCTGCTAATAAAGAACATCAGTGCAAATGAGAGATTAACCTATTACCCCAGATTTGTTTTCTGGATCAGTGCAGTTGGAATGAAGGCAGCTTCTGTTGGTCTTAAAATGGCAAATTCTGTTGTCCAGCATAATAACTTTGTTCTTTAATAGTCATCTTTATATTCAAAGAGCTACTTTATATACGTTGTGTATTCTGACTTTCAGGTATAAGGATTGCTTTGAACATTTAAAACGGGTGAGGAACGTCAGGCCCGGAGGCGGGATGTAGCCCCTGGCTTGCCTGGATCTGGATCCTGAGGCTAAGGCTCCCCTCAGCACTGGGGAGCCTGTGCTGGGGCTGTAGGTTCTCTTCCCCACACTGCCCTACCACAAAGCTGGAGCACACAAAATCTGCTAGGCTGGGCCCCCTTAGGCTGTGGTGTGTGAGGAGAATGTGAAAAGTATCTTTCTGCTTCTCACTTGTGAGCAGCCCCCAGCTGATTTTTTTGTGGATCAGCAGCCCCCGAAACAAAAAAAATTCCCCACTCCTGATTTAAAACTAAACGTCAACAGCTACAATCTTAATTCACCTATTACTCCTGCTTTCTTCTAATAGTCACCCACATTTTGTTGTTGTTGTTTTCTTCTTTGTAATGTGGCTTCTGACCTTTAGATTTGTGAGCTTTTGGGGGAACGGACTCTCTCTGTATGTGCGATACCTAGCATATTATTGAGTGCAGGATAAATAAGATCAATTATATTAAAAAGGGAGATTTTGCCCACCCACAGAATGAGACTTATTCAATAACAAGTATAATAGTTGATTTGTTTAATACATTAGTACACTATTTAAAAATGTATTTTAATAGCATTATACAGGTAGGACCTCCAAAAACTGGGACTCCCTTGTCTGGCAACAGGGAGTCCTGGCTAGGAGCAACAGTGACGAGGGCTGGCAGCCCCGGTAGCACAGCCAGGGCTGCGGCAGCCCCAGTAGGAGGGCCGGGGATGGCAGCAGCCGTGGCAGCCCCAGTAGCGGAGGTGAGGCCAGGGACATGGCACCGCAGTAGCTCTGTTAACAGGGCCAAGGACGCACGGCCACGGCAGTCCCGCTAAGGCCGCCAGGGATGCAGCAGTCTGGGCTGCCAGGGCTACAACAGCACAGCAGCCTGGATGGGGAAGGGTTAGGGCTGTCAGAGGAGAAAGGAGGGGAGGCGGGCTAAGGGGCCGGTAGCAGGGGACCTCCCCTGGTCTGGCAAATTCCCTCATTCAGGGCTGGTCAGGTCCTGAGGGTGCCAGACTAGAGAGGACCTATACAAATATTTGATTTACCTCATTTCTCAAAACAACATAAAACTTTCAAAAAATACAGAGAGGTACAAAATTCTAATGTGGTGGTTTTTATTTCTTTGGGGTTTTTTTTTTTTTTTTAGGATTTGTCTTTTGCAAGTCAACAAAAGGAATGTGAGGTTTCAGTTTCATCTCGATCTGGGTAAGTTAAATATAAAATTAAATAGAATATAGCCATATTTAAAGCCTACCTTAGCTGTGCACAACTACAGTTAAGAATTTTTATCTGAAGATTTAAAAATTGGTGTTTGGATTCAAATGTGTGTGCATGTGATCTCTGGGGCAGGCATCATGTGTGGTAATAACAACCCTTGCAGGGCAGGAGGAGCCTTTGTGCGTTCCCCCTCCCCCAAGCCAATCAGGGGCAGGAGGCAGGCATGGTGCTTGCAGGGCGGGGGGCAGGGAGCAAGAGATTTTCTGTGCTTTTCCCACCCCCACACCCTGATCAGCCTGGGGATGGGGGGTGCTTGCAAAGTCTCCTTCTGCACTGCAAGGGGGCGGGTGCCTAGAGGGAACTGCCAGCTGTTTAGAACAGCTGGCAGTTTTCTCTAGGTGGGAGGAGGGTGAGGGCAAAGCTTCACTGTGCTCCCCTACTCCCAGACCAGTCAGGGTCTGTGGGAAGGGAAGCACAGAAGTGTTGTGACCTGACCTGCCCCCCCGCCCCTTCTGCCAGAGGCCTCGCCCCTTCCGGGCTGGCCCCCGGGCCACTTCAAAAATTAGTGAAGTGGCTCCCTGTCTAAAATTATTGCCTACCCCTGCTTTGTATCACATAAAGTCATATCATGAAGGTGGTTGTAGCAGCTTCATAGTAAAAGTGGAACTGAGATTTGGGAGTAAATCCCTCTTTGAAATACCTTAAAGATTAGATTGCTTCACTACATTCAGCATATCTTTATTATTAGAAGGCAACTGAATGTTCGGTGACGTTTTCAGACAAACATTTTGCAAGATTTGAAAAGGAAGCATCGAAAAGTGCCCCCTCTTTAGCATTTTGTCCTTGGGAGCCTAACACTTTCTTGTTTCGTGTGATCCAACAGAACAGAGTTTATACCAATCCCAGACTTCACAGTCACTTTTTGGTAACATCTCAAGCATAGTTGCATTTAAAAAAAATAAAATTATTCCCTTTTTCAACTTAGTGGAAATGGTTGTCTCCATTCTGGGAATGCTGCCAGCCTGCTTTCCTGACTACATCTGTGCTCAGCACAGACAGCCTGCTAAGATAGGCTAGTCAGAAAGTAGGCAATGAGAGAGGGACTTTAGAGGCACAAGAGATAGGAGTAGCTGTCCAGGATGATAAGCCCAGCAGAATATACTCTACAAAGCTCTTTGCCGGAGGGCTTAAAATCCATCTTCTTTTCTCTTTCTCTCCCAAATGAGAAACCAGTTTGTTATCCTAGCACAAGCCTTTCCCAACATGATTGGCATCTGCATGCTGTTTGCAATCTTCTGTTGGCCTCATCTTCCAGTTTCTCACACCACATAGTGAAATCCTGGTTCTGTTGAAATCCATGTCAAAACTCCCATTGACTTCACTGGGGCCAGGATTTCAACCCAAGTCTCTATTCTCCTGCCCCCAGCCTGACCTTCCTGTCATAATCCTTTCCTGGTTCCTAGTTTAAGGGAGGACTTTGGAACAAGCAGTGAGGGAGGCATTTCACACTGGGAGCAGAAATTAGATTGAATGACTTCTTGCAATAGAAGATGTAAATTGAGACTAGCTTCTTCCATGACTCCTGATTTATCTTGCTTGCTAGAAACTAGAAATCTTCCCTTTTTTTGTTAAGGCAACCATACAATAAAAAAATAACATATTACATTGCATCTTACTTATTCATGATCAGGTTAATATTCAAATAACCTGGCTGAAGATTCTGGCTTGCTGGTGAGAGAGCCTCCCTCCTTTGCGTACGCTAGAAAGGGTGACTAAATAGCTATCCTCTTTTCGGTGCTTCTCTAGGGAATATGCTTGATATAAAAACTTTTCCATTACAAGGACACTCCATATTTTACTGTACCTTAATTTCATAAGAGGAGAAATCACATTTTCCAGTAATGTGCTGGAATTTGTATTGCTGCTAGCATTAATTTGTTGTTCTATTTAAAATGTAGATTCTTTACTGGAACATTAAGTAAACAGATCAGAGGATCTCTAGAAAGCCAGATTTTTGTCTTAAAATAAGTCTCCTAATTTCCTTCCCAAACCATCTTAATCCTAGACGTAAACCCACATATTTCCCCCTTTCCTCACAATTCCTCCAGCAGAGCACCTCTTTAGTAGCAAAAAGTCAAATGCCATCTATGTAGCAATTTCTAAAAATGTTCTGTGACACAAATTGAAGGTGTATATCCTCGTAACAATATACTCATTCATACAGATCAATTTTTATTGTCCATAAGAATGTAAGAACAGCCATACTGGGTCAGACTAAAGGTCCATCTAGCCCAGTATCCTGTCTGCTGACAGTGGCCAATACCAAATACCCCAGAGGGAGGGAACACAACAGGTAATCCTCATGTAATCCCTCCCCTGTCACCCATTTCCAGAAAAACAGAGGCTATTGACACCACTCCTACCCAATCTGGCTAATAGCCATTGATGGACCTAACCTCCATGAATCTATTTATCTATCTTTTTGAACCCTGTTAAAGTCCTAGCCTTCACCACATCCACTAGCAAGGAGTTCCAGAGGTTGACTGTGTGCTGAGTGAAGAAAAACTTCCTTTTGTTTGTTTTAAACCTGCTGCCAATTAATTTCATTTGGTGACCCCTACTTCTTATATTGTGAGAATAAGTAAATAACTTTTCCTTATTCACTTTTTCTACATCAGTCCAAATCCCTTTCCCCTCTTTTCATATAGGTTGTTTTCTTATTATCATAATTTTTCAGTCAAAATTATATGTATTTTAGAAATTAAACTTTTCCTTCTGTTTGCTCCTGTGTTTGTTCTTTCAGTTTGGTTAAAGGTCTAGATAGAGCCACCTTCTATCCAGATTTCACAATAACATGTTTGACTTGTAAATATAAAGGGCCCATATTTCAATATTTACATTGTTACATACCTTTTGGTATGATTTCGGGAACAGCTCTCTGATTTGAGTAATCTTAGCCCTTACAATGGGTGCGTCCTCACAGCACCCTAAACTCGAAATAAGATATGCAATTTGCCCTACGCAAATTGTGTATCTTATTTTGATTCTATTTCAAAATACTATAGTTTATCTTGAAATTTGGTGCATCTACACAGAACCAAATTTCGAAATAATGCACTATATTGAGACATCCCTTAACACTCATGAAATGAGGGTTACAAGGATGCCAAAATAGCGCACCCATTATTTCAAAAAATATTTCAAAATAACGGGCGGCTTGTTAAGATGCAGGGTAGCTATTTCAGGATACCTCTGGTATCCTGAAATAGCCGTGTAGTGTAGACATTCTGATGATCAGAAATTTTTATTCTAAAGAGATATTAAGTCAAATATCTAAGAGAGAAGCCTTTTGGAACAATAAATTTAAAAAAATTGACCAAATCTGCTAACATCGACTGGATAAATAGATGATTTCTAAATTATTATTTTAGTAACCTGAATTTCTTTTTAACCCCACAATTACTATAAATAGTGGGTTTTGCCCACAAGAGCTCGTGATACTATATATATTTTTGTTAGTCTCTAAAGTGCCACAAGACTACTCTTTGTTTATAAATAACTATATTCGGGGTCCAGTCTTCAAGTTTCACCCAGTATTTGGCAGTCTATTGCAGTAAAAGGCTAATTACGCCCTCAGTCTCTAACAATATAATTCCTATAGGTTTGATTTAACTCTCTGATGATAAGATCCAACAAAATCTGAAGCATGATTATTAGGTATGAACTAACAGGAATAGCCTGAAGAATTACCGTTTTTGCTGCTTGTAAAAACAAATAGACCATAAACAATGTGAATTGTATAATAGCCTGGTGTACAGAGGTGTGTGCACAAACATGCTCTATAGTTAGGCATGTGTAACTCTTGAGTCACTGATGTCAATAGCAAAATTAACTTCTATCTTAGTTTTGTTTTTAAGGCATCTTCTTTGTCTTAAGGCTTGGAAAGTATTCATGAAAATCCAAATATTTGGTATTGGCTGCATTTGGAATGTTAACTGACTCAAGCTATAGCTAATCAAAAGAGGAGAAAACTAAAAGAGAACTGTGGTTTTATAATGTTACCTCCGATGTAATGTTCTCCTGCAGCAACAAAAATACATGTAAGAGCAGAATGCTCTCATAGCACATTCTATCTCATAGGGATTTAAACTAACCTTGAACTTCACCACTAACCTAAACTGGTTCCTGGGTTTTATAGGACTGCCTTCTCATAGTTCTTTGAAAACATTACAAGGTTAACCTTGTTAATTCAGGAAAGTATTGTGTAACTTAAAACGAATTGGATGAACAGAGCATTATTGCTAAAATAGCACACATGTGCAGCCTGATGAACAATGAAATACAGTGGAGGATGGTGCCAAATGATTTTTTCTGTAGGCCAGATCCTCTGTAAATTAGCATTACTCCATAGACTTCAATTGATTTGTGCAAGTTTACATCAGGATCTGGCCCTCTGTGTGAGGAAAATTGTATTTTTAGACACACTTATTAATTGTAATTTTAAATGACTTTTTAAAGTAATTTAATTAATTGCAACATTATGTTCATTTTTATTCTTGCCAAATTTCTTTCCTTCTCTTCTGTTACATGGAGTTTTTCTTTTCAGTTTCACTTCTCATTGTGGTTGCTTGAATTGGTCATTCTAATCTTACTTTTATTGAATTGTATCTCCTTGTCATCGCTCATAAATTGATAATTGAATAACTCTGTTAACAGGACTGATGCTTTTATTTTCTGTTCCTGTGCTTTTTTTATTGTATTCGTAATTAGTCAGTACTAAGTTAATAAATAAGGTATATTTTTTTAAATGGGAGCCTGCATTTCTTTGTTTTGTTTTTACTTGGGAAGGCAAATATAAATGTTTTATTAATGGCACTTTTGTTTATTACAAAATAACAGACAATAACAGAAAATTCCAAAGAGGCAGACCTGATGCTAAGGAAATAAGAGGAAAAAAAGACGAAAGAAAGGAAAAGAATGAAGCAATTAACAAGAGGGCATATTAGGGGAAAATATTACATTCTTTCAGGGGGAGCTAGCTAGTCATTTTCATCAAGGAAGCTTATTTATGACTGAAAAGACACATTTTTAAAAACTTGCAAAAACTGAGTGTTTACAAAAATTTGCCCTAATTCAGATTTAAACATCTTAGTGGTATAAAGTATTCTCTTCTAGAAGAGAAGCATATGTGTAAAGACCCCCTTACAAAACAACTTGTTTAAAGAAATGTTATTTCCTGTGTTGTAATCCACAGTCAGGGAAGTTAAAGTTACCACACTTTTTATTGTACTTATCAAATTACATGATATGCAATTATCTCTGATCAGGAAAGTGTGCTTGCAGTTGGAGAACTGTAGAGATTTTGATTGATAGTATTAAGATGTGGTACTGCAGAGATTTTCTCACAATCCAGAACTCTGCCGGATTCTGTTCTGCCTTGTTACTTCCAGTAAGATAGGAATTTTAGCTTTCCACCAAATTGCTGGCAGAATATCATGGGGTGTGTCCAGCAGAGGATACTCGCTCTCTCTCTCTCTCTCTCTCTCTCTGTGCTGATATCAGTATGTCAAGATGCAGAGAAACCAGCAGAGAGAGAGTGAGAGTCTCTGCACAGTTTGCTAGATCAGGAATCAGGACTTCTGGATTCTCCCTCTGATTCTGTCACACACTATACGATCCATCATCTATAGTCAAGCCCTTAGATACAACCACATCTGCTCCAGTCCCACTGACAGAGACCAAAAACTTCAAGATCTCTACCAAGCATTTGTAAAATTTAATTACCCACCAGGGGAAGTAAAAAAACAGATTGAAAGGGCCAGACTAATACCCAGAAACCATCTACTTGTAGATAGGCCCAAGAAAATCAACAATAGAACTCCACTTGTCATCACCTACCGCCTCCAACTCAAACCCCTCCAGCGCATTATCAGTAACTACAACCTATACTAGAACATGATTCTACACTCCGAGAGGCTATGGGTGACAGACCTGTACTCTCCTATAGACAACCGCCTAACCTCAGGAAAATTCTCACTAATAACCACAGGGCATATCACATGAAAACTAACCCTGGGACTTTCCCTTGCAACAAACCCCATTGCCAGCTTTGTCCACATATTTACTGTGGAGACACCATCACTGGACCTAGCCACGTCAATTATATGGTGAAGGGCTCATATTCCTGTTTGTCCAGCAATGTGATATATGCCATCATGTGCCAGCAATGCCCCTCTGCGATGTATATTGGACAAACTGGTCCGTCACTTTGCCAAAGAATCAATGCTCACAGAACAGACATCAGAAATCTCCACACACAAACTTGTCAGCCAGCATTTCAGTCAAATTGGCCAGTCCCTTAAAGACCTGACAACATGCATCTTACAACAGAGACATTAACACCAGATTACAGAGGGAGAACTCAGAACTTTTATTTATGCTAAAATTCAACACCTTGCGAATGGGCCTTAATCAAGATGATAATTATCTTACACATTACAAAGACAGCCTCCCTACTTTTTGATATTCGTAGTGACCCCAGATTAGCTACTTAATTGACTCTTATGGTAAGCAATTTCCTCCTTCCTTGTCATTCCCCCCACCTTCTGTTCTATGTAGTTGATTTGTCAATTTGTAATTTTTTTACCTTTTTCATTGTATCCCTCTGTTACATAATGGTCATGCCCCACAAAAGCTCATCACCTAATAAACTATCTTGTTAGTCTTTAAAGTGCTTCATGACTGCTTTTTTTGTTGTTGAACAATTCAGTTTCCCTGTGCCTGTTGATCAATTTGTCAGGTGGATGTAATCCTCCATAGTGTGTTAGGAAACTTAGGGCTTGTCTCCATATACTGGGGGATCAGTGCTATAGAGATTGATCTCCCATGGGTCGATTTAGTGGGTCTAGTTAGAACCCACTAAATCAGCTGCTGATCGCACCCTCATCGACTCTGGTACTTCACCATGTCACAAAGACTAAGAGAAATCAATGGAACAGTTTCTCCCATCGACCCCCAGCAGAGGGGATGGTGTGAAAATTTGATCTAAGGCACATTGACTCCAGCTACGCTATTCACACGGCTGGAGTTGCATATCTGAGGTTGACTTTCTCCCCTAATGTAGACGTGGCCTCAGTGTCTGTAGGCAAAGAGCATAGAATCATAGAATCATAGAATAATAGGACTGGAAGGGACCTCGAGAGGTCATCGAGTCCAGCCCCCCGCCCCCAAGGCAGGATCAAGCTCCGTCTACACCATCCCAGCATAAAGATCACTTGATGAACGATGCTATATAAGTGCAAAGCAAACAGATTTTTCAAACTTAACTGCTTAAGTTATCAAAATACATAATTGGCCTGATTTTCAGAGTTAACATTTATGACTCTTGCTAACTTTAATAAAAAATGTTAATATTTAGCCCCTCTGGAAATTAAACAACTTACTTGGGTCGCTGAATATGGATTTAAGTGCCTAACTTTAGACACCCAGTTCTAGAAATTTTGACCAGTATTCTGCATACTATTAGAAATGGGGAAAACACGTGATTTATTTTGCCATGACAAAGACCTTTCAAATCAGTCATTTCAGAAATTACAGCCTAGTACAACTATTTTATTATTTGAGGTTTAAAAGATGAAGTTGACTTTCTCTCAACTTAGTTTTATATGTCTAAAGTGAGATATATAGGCAAAGGAAGGTTTCTTTTAAGTCGTTATGTTTTAAAAGGCATTTGTTCTTACAGACTTGTTATATGTTATGCGATTCTGGGATACCAGTGAAATTTCATGATAAGCACCGAGAATCTTTTAGCTAAAAAGTCATAAATACCCAGATGCTTTTCACAAGTAAGCGTTAAGACTTGTAGTCCCGTGTAGAAAGTCAATAGAAGTGTTGCCTGAGTATCACAACTCTAAAATCAGAGTGAAATTCAATTCCTAACTGACTTTGCTTTAGCTAATATTTCTTTGTATTTCCTCTTGCTTTTTTCAAGTGCTCTACGGCATCAGGAAACTGGACAGCTGTCCATTAAACACCCAAGCATCATATGTACTGAAGCATCTGATGTTGCTTCCTTTACCAGTTTGTCTCCTGGTCCAGAGGTAATGATGATACACTTATTACTTACAAGCAAAAATGCTCTATCTTAATTTATCAGCCATGACTATTACCATGAGAATTTGGACTACCTTAAAAATTTGAAGCCGATAGAAATCTTGGGGTGCGTCTACACTGACCATTATTTCGGAATAACAGCCGTTATTCCGAAATAACAATGCGAATGTCTACACAGCAATTCTGTAATTTCAGAATAAATTCAAAATTACAGATGGCTTATTCTGGCTTCTGTAAATCTCATTCCACGAGGAATAGCTATTTCAGAATTGGGCGTGTGTGGATACAGCACAGGGAGTTATTTTGAAATAAGGGCCTCCAGGAAATCCCACAGGTGCTCTGCTGGCCACTCCATCCACACTCCTCAGGACTCTATAGTTCCTCTTCCCCTGCAGCCCTTAAAGCTGCAGCCACAGGGGAAGGGGATTGTTGCGGGAAAGCTGGCCCTGACAGCCTCCAGCCACATTGCTGCTGTCACAGCACGACACCTGGCCAGCATGGCTGACTGTCAAGCCCCCCAAGACCCTCCACTGCTCCCAGGGAGCAGTCTGACAGCTCCCAGGAGCCTGCCAGGCACCACAAGAGGTGTGCACCATCCTGGTCCGGGGCAGAGATCCTGGCCCTCATTGAGGTGTGGGGCGACAAGGAAAACTTCCAGGATCTCCGCTCTAGATGACACAACACCAACATCTGCGGCCGCATGGCTGATAGCTTGGCCACCAAGGGCCACATCTGGACCTAGGGTAGCAAGTCCAGATGAAAGTTAAAGAACTCAGCCAGGGCTACGCCAGGGCGAGGGAGCGCAGCTCCCGCTCTGGGTCAGAACCCCACTCCTGCCCCTATTATCAAGACTTGCACCGAATCCTAGGGGACAGTACAGCCCCTTCCCCACCACTGGTGGTTGACTCAGGGCTGGAGACGCCCATCGTTGCCCACCCAGGGGTTAGAGCTGGTGAGGAGGAGGCGGAACCCGACGCAGCCAGCACTGTCACCTCGGTGGCACTGGAGCCAGTAACCCACTGGATGTGTCCCAGGCATCCTCTAAGGCTGGAAAGGGAACATCAGGTGAGTGACCTTAGTTTTCTCCGACAGATAGGGTGGAGGTGGCAGGCGCGAGGGGTTGGGGTGCACTCCTCGCTCGGCCTCCTTGGCCTGAGGAATCACTCTGGAGTCTGTGCATGTGGATATCCATGCAGCGGCAGTCTGTGCCACACGGCCCTGGGTAGCTGCATCTTAGCACCCCGGGCTCCTGCTCACAAGGTCTGGGGAGACCGGCCACACTTCAGACACCTGGGTGGGACACCCTCCCACCACAAGCCACCGCTAGAAGGAGGCTGGGGCCAAAGACACACATACACAGACTCTGGAGTGCCACACTTGGCACACAGGTATGCCTTCATGCTCAAGGCAACACACGCTCCCAGGGATAGTGCTGCCAGGTGTAGGTTTGTCTGCTGCTCACACACCCCTGTCCCTCAGCAGCCAGGGATAGAAGTTCTCTCCCCTTGAGATGCCACCACTGCTGGACCCAGCGTGTACACGGCACCGAGGCAAGCCCAGCCAGCCCGAGGATCCCCTCCCACCCACTGGATCCCAGCATGGCCGGCAACTTCCCATGCCTTCTTGTCCCTGGGATGTGGGTGGCGGAAAGGGTGAATCATGATCCTCTGGGGAAGTCTGGGCTTCTGTAAGAAAGGATCTGCTGTCCTGCTCCCAGGACATCACCTTCCTCTGACCCAGGAACTGTCGGTCTCGGCTCACTGATGAGGACAGTGCCTCTAAGGATGACCGACCATCTCTCTTTATTCTCCCCAGCCAGACCAGCTGCAAGAGGGTTGTGGGCAACACCATCCGAGGAAGCCACCCAACAGCGGGGGAGCCCCAGGCACCGGAGAAAGCAGGAGGAATTGATGCAGGAGCACATCTCTGTACTTTGGGCCCTGCACAAGACGCTGGTCCAGAAGGTCTGGGAGGACATGCAGTGGTGGAGAGAGACCTGGACAGAGTTGCTGCAGCAGGGTCATAACATGTGTGCGACGGTGCAGGCTCTCCTCACCCACCTGGAGCCAGCTCCCGATCCTGCTGCTGCTCCTGGTCCTGCCCCTCCTTCCCATGCCTGACCCTGCTCCTGCTCTTGCTTCTCCCCCTGGCTTCCCCAGCCCTGCTCCCCGCACACAAGGTGGAGGAACCATCTGAGCCAGGTGCCACTCCCAGCCCCAGCCCTGAGCCTCTCCTCCCCCTTCCTCCCACTTTCAGCTCCCTCCTCCCCTCCCTCCAAGGTTCTCATCCCCCGACTTCTCCCTTCCCATTTCCAGGTTTTTCCCCGGTCCCTCCACAGTTACTTCTACCCCAAATAAACAACCAAACAGGTGTTTTTTTTTCAAAACCAAACTCTTTTTTAATTGTTTCTGCAGGGGAGGGAGGTAGAGGGGGGACGGAGGGGTTGTAGTGAGAAAGGCAGAGAGGGGCAAGGCACAGGCCCCTTGTAGGGAGAACCTAGTTCAGGGTTTCCCTACCTATGGTTCCGGACCCAAATATGGGTGACCATTACATTTCAAAAAGGTTGCCAGGTGTCTCCCCAGGGGGCTCTTAAGGAGCCATTCACACATTCTTTGATTTGCCCTGGGTCACCAAGTCTTCCTGAATTGTCAAAATGGGTCCCCATCTGGAAAAGGTTGGGAACCGCTGCCCTAGGGAGAGTATCCCTGGGGTCCTTGTGAGAAACTCTCCCTCGGGGCCTCCCAGATGGGCACCCCTGCCTGATGGGCCTGGCAGATGGCAGCTGTGCACGGCTGTTCAAAGGCTCAGCCCTCCCTGCTGGCCTCTGCCCCCCACTCTGGGAGGAATCCCTCCCCGTTCTTCTCACAGAGGTATGGTGCACACAACATATGGACACCACATGGGGGATGTTCTGCACCCCCACATCCAGGCAGGTCAGGAGGCATCTGAACCTTGCCTTCAGATGTCTGAAGACACACTCTATCTGCATGCGGACCCTACCCAGACGAGCATTAAAGCAGTCCTTGCTGGGGTCAAGAAGTCCGGTGTAGGGCTTCATAAGCCACAGCATGCGGGAGTCGGCTGCATTCCCCATGATGCAAAGTGGCATGTCCATGTCCCTGACCTTATGGTGCACATGGGGAAGAAAGTGCTGGCCTCCAACTTCTGGAATAGGGTGGAATTGCAGAATACGCAGGTGTTGTGCACCTTCCCCAACCACCCAATGTAGATGTCTGTAAACTGCCCGCGGTGGTCAGCCAGGGCCTGCAGTACCATGGAAAAATATCCCTTGGGGTTAAAGTAGAGAGATGTCCAGCGGTCGGGGGCCCAGATGGGGACGTGTGTGCCATCAATAGCCCCTCCACATTTGAGGAAGCCCGGTGCGGCAAAGCTGGCAACGATGGGTCCACCACGTCACCGACTTGGGTGACCCTGCACAGCAAGACGGTGTTGTTGGCCCTCTCTGTCTGCAGAAGGAGACAAACAAAGAAAACAGAGAATCACAGAGGTGCCAGAGCACTTGGGAGGCCACCAAGCCACTCCCTTCCCCCCAACCACACCAGGAGCCACCCCTATGTAGCCACCTCCCCTCCCCCCCAGCAAGGCTGAGGGAGGGCAGGACTGGAGAACCACCTGGGGACAGGGGCTTTTCCCCCACCCCACCCTCTTTTTCCCTAGGGTTCCCCTTTCCAGCACTTCACTCACACACCCCCCGGGACTGCAGCCTGAGAACGCCATTCCTGCATGACAAGGGCCCCGACGGTCGACTTCCCCATGCTGAACTGGTTCCCGACATATCAGGAACTGTCCAGCATGGTGAGCTTCCAGATAGCAATGGCGACCCACTTCTCCAGGGGAATGGCGAGTCTCATTTGGGTGTCTTGTTGCACGAGGGCAGGGGCAAGCCAGGGACATAGCTCCAGAAACGTCTCCTTCCTCATTTGAAAATTCTGGAGCCACTGCTGGTTGTCCCACCAGTCCACCACAAGCCGGTCCATCAGTCGGAACTGATGTCCAGCCACCAGAAGCGACAGTGCACAGTGAAGTGTAGCTGGAAGAGCTGTGCTCCCAGACAGAGGTTGAGGGTCTCCTCAAACAGCTGGGGATCATGTTCCTGCAGTACCAGGAGGGCAGCCTGCAGAAACTGCTGCATAAACCAGCACAACAGTCAGGGGCCATTGCGTGCCCAGAGGCAGCTCTGGCTCCATAGCTGGGAGTGCTGTGGTATCTGGTAACAGGGCAACCAAAGCTCGCAGCGAAAATGCTTTGCTGTCCCTCAGAGAGGTAGGCAAGCAAGAGGAGAATCTGAGAAATGGCTGTACAGGGAGGGTCCTTTTAAGCACACGTCTCAGATACTTCCTGGAGCTGCTGCCTGAGGCTAACTGCTGACCTGATGCCCTGCCTGAGCTGGTTCCGGCTGGCCTCAAATGCGAGCTAGTGTTCAATCAGCCTGGACGCTCTATTTTGAAATAGCTAAGCGCTATTTTAATGCATTTTTTGTGTGTAGACACAGTATTTCGAAATAAACTATTCTGGAAAATAAATTCCGGAATAGCTTATTCCAAAATAAGCATGCAGTGTAGACGTACCCTTGCAGAGATAAAAGAGCAGGAACTTACTGTACAAATTTTTAACTCAGTCAGAATTAGAAATGTAGCACATAATCCAGTGCCGCTGACTTCCACCTGTTGAGATCCGAACACAACATTTTTAATTACAGAGATGAAAACCAGGAGTCTCCTTATGAAACTCTCAATGTCATTATCCTTTCTTATAATTGTATCAGAAGGCTTTTGAAGAAAGTGGCAGTCATTGTAGCAATTCAGCAAAAAACATCCTAATAAGCAGAAATGAATTAAATTATCCATAAATAATTTCATTAACCAGTAAACACTACGACCCAGCCAGAATATGACTAATTACATGCAGCTTGAATTGTGAAGGTTACCTATCACTGTCCTCCTTGCATTCTCATTTTTGTAAACTTTCTCGCTAAACTGCAGAATTTTATTTCAGTAATATTATTATTTATAAATGTTTTAGATAGAGGAGCCCTAAAACCCCCTTGGCAGGGATAGCTCAGGGGGCAGGGAGAGGGGAGCTAGGGGCTGTGATGTCCAGCACACTAGCCACTAGCCGCATGTGACTATTTGACCGGTTGAGTGTGGCTAGTTCGCCAGAGCAGTAGCCTCTATAGTGGCTGCTGCTTCAGAACTGGTTGGACACCACAGAGCTAGGTGGCTGTGTGCAGGCAAGGGGTAGCTCAGGGTATGGGGAGGAGATAGCTAGGGGGCTGTGTCTGCGCAGGAAGTAGCTTGGGGTGCAGGGAAAGGTGTAGCTAGGGGCTTTGTGCAGGGAGGCTTCTCTCTGAGAGCTCTGCTGTCCTGGAATCAGGTCCACCCCTCTCCCGCACCTGGCATCTCTGACTGGCTGTGTGAGTAGTCAGAAGGGCTAGAGCTGAGGAGCAGCCTCTAACCCAGACACCAGCCTCAGATGGAGAAATGCCACCGCTGCCCCGCCCCATGGCAGGACCAGCCAGAGGAGCAGCTGCCCTGCACTGCCTGGCTTTGGCTTCTGGCCTGTGATGTGGCCAGAAGGAGGGGTGGAGAGGGAGTGGAGGAGAGGAGATGGGGTAAGGCCTGGAGCTGCCCCAGGAACTGCCCAACTCTGAGTGAGACCAACCCCAGCAGCAGATGGAGAAATGCCACCGCTGCCCCGCCCCATGGCAGGACCAGCCAGAGGAGCAGCTGCCCTGCACTGCCTGGCTTTGGCTTCTGGCCTGTGATGTGGCCAGAAGGAGGGGTGGAGAGGGAGTGGAGGAGAGGAGATGGGGTAAGGCCTGGAGCTGCCCCAGGAACTGCCCAACTCTGAGTGAGACCAGGGCTTGGGGCTCCCCTGCTGCTACAATCTGGGTGGGTGATGGGAGAAACAGGGCTCCCAGCTTCTGACCTACGCCACTGCTGGCTTCAGATTGGGGGAGCACCAGGGCTCCTGGCTTCTGCCCCAGGCTGCTGCCAGGACTCAGGTAGCTGGTCGTGGGCCCTGCAGCTCCCCTGAAAGGCCTCACCCTACCCTTGGGGCAGTGGAGCCCCAACTGAGAACTATTGACCTAAGTGATTTACCTGGGAAGAGGGTGTGTGTGTAATGAGCTTTTTTTGTTGTAGTATGTGTGCAATAGCAAGGGTTAGGAGAGTATTCTTCTACAGTCTTAAACTGATTTATATTTTCCGCTGGATTATTTAAAGAAGATAACGACTTATCTTCCAAGCCAAGGGAGCAGGTCTATGAATATTTTAGTTCAAGCGTTACATACAACAAGAGACACATTACGTGGCCTTTGGTGAATACCTAGGGTGAATTACAACAGAGTGTCTCAGTCTGCCCAGTGTCAGAGGGGTAGCCGTGTTAGTCTGAACCTGCATCTGACGAAGTGGGTCTTGCCCACGAAAGCTTATGCTCCAACACTTCGGTTAGTCTATAAGGTGTCACAGGACTCCTCAGTCTGCCCAGGAAGTGCATCAGAAGACAAATCATGGCCATGCTTATGTATCTGTGTCCTAAGGGATGCCTGAAAGGTGTGTAACAGGTAGGAGCATTGCATATAGGTCATTTTGATGTGTCAGATGTTGCCTGTGCTCTTTCTGTTTCATAAACTCTCTCAGTAGCATCTCTTTGGAGCACAGTCGCCTGTCTCTCCATTGGGAGGTAACAGGTAAGCAGGATGTCACATCCCTTTGTTTGGTCTCTCAGAAGGAGGACAGGGCCCATGATCTGGCAAGGATAGTCAACAGAACCTATATCTCTTCATAATACATTGAGAAATGCAGAAGAGGCATGGAAAGTGGTGTGAAATCCGTTTCTAGTTGTAGGACCTGCAGGATAGGAGACTCCTTGACCCATCTGTGTGAGGGGACAAACAAGAGGCAGGTCCAGGAAAGGAAAGTGTTAAAGCAACGACAAAGAGAGAGGTTGGACTTTTAGAAGTCCATGTAGGGCTTCTAAAAACAAGGAAGGGTATTTTGACCGGGAGCCCGAAGAGAATGGGGAGACAATGGCAATGTTTGAGGAAAGCGAGGTGATGAAGTGGCGTTGATTTGTATGTGAAGACTAGGAAACCATTGGCAGCCTCTGTGCTGAATCTGGAGAGCTGTGAGGGCATAGGCCATGGACAGTGGAGTTGCAGTAGTTATGGCAATGGCATGGATGAGGGTTTCAGCAGAAGTAGAGTAGAGACAGTGGCATATATGGGCTTTGCGCTGGAGGTAGTGATTGGTTCCTGATCCAGATAAGTCAGTCATGCCTTCAAGTAAATGCAAATGACTTCAACTGGAGTAAATCACAACAATCATAACAAAGTGAACTGTGCCTGCACAGCATTAGGGCCCTTATTCTAAACTGCAGAAGTCCCCTCCATTCCTACATTCATTCTCTAACTCCAGCTGCGGCTAAGAAGACTTTTAAGACCTGGAACAATCCACTAAAGGGGTGAGTAATTGGCGATGAGCTAGATTTTCAGGAGAAGAAGGAGGAGGGAGTTAAGAGATGAGGATGATTCCAAAGTCATGAACAACAAAAGTAAAAGGCAGGCGTGAGTTGCACAAGATGGGAAAAGAGGAGGAACTGTAGTTGTGGACACGTTTCTTGCCACAGAGAAGAGCTGCTGTCTATGAGATTGCTAGCCACGAGAAAACATTCCAACCAGAGTGGATAGTAAGGTGGAAATAACACTAAATTCTCCTCTGCTTTCTTTGGTCCCCATTAAATAATGGGGACTTGTATGGCTCCCTCCTACAAAGGGTAAATTTACAACTTTAAGTGCCTGGGAATAGTGTTTCCTTAGGATCTGCAGCTGTTCTTATGTTCACATTGTCCTTTTGAGAAGATTTGCTGATCTTCACTTAACATTATTTTAGATTGTGGATGTGTCCAAAGCGTGCTAGATGCTTTCCAGACCCAAGGGAAAGACACAATCACTGCCCTAAGAGTTTACAATCCGGTGTATTAGTTTATACATAGTTTCTCATTTTTGTCCTTATCAGATGCTAATGTTATTGAAGCATAGTGGAAAGCGAGAAAGGACAAGCAAACAGTCTGTTGCGTTGTCAGAGCAAACTTCTTGTAGATAGTCCCTTTCCCAACAGTTAAGCAAACCATAAAGTGTTCCAGACCTTGACATAAAAGAACCATTCATTGCTCACTAATTTATTTACAGTGCTTTATTTTTGCAGCCACATTTTTTTCTGATGACTGTTGAGATAAGGAAAGATAGAAGTCTGTGGATTGCTCTTTACTAGAAATATGAGAAGATTAAAAAAATAAATGCAAAGTATGCACAGCAAAAGTGGTAACCATGCACATAATACTCTCACTTAAATTCTGTGTGTGCCAGTTCTCATTTAAAAAAAAAATCACTCATTTCCTTGCCATGCCTTTCTCCAGAACTTTATTTCCATAGCCATAATGACCTGTTAAAACTGAAAATAACTCTCCTAATGTCATTTGCATACAATGGATACAATGCTGTCTATGCACAGCTCCAGTGCATCCACTGGTGCTCAAAGCTCTGTAAGCAGCAGCTGTGTGAAGCCGAGGAGACATTGGTCATTTTCACTTTTGCTATTTAGAATCTTGTGGGCAAAAGCACCAAAACTGTCAAGAATCATGTTGCCCTCCTACCTGGGAACAGCCCTGACAAGTTGTGAAGGCAGAGACTGGTGATATTCTTGGGAGGTGACGAGACAAACAACGGAGAGCAGACGGGCAGTAGGGAAATGGAGGGCCATCCACATTGCCACTTGCAGCAGCCTGGAGGGGCAGAATTGAAAAAGTTTTAGACTTGATATTAGCAATGAGACCCTCTGTCATTATATTAATTAGGCTGTTAGGGATCTAAAACCCGAGGTGCAGTGTCTACCCAGCTATTTTTAATGCAGGAGCCCAAGCCCTGCAGAAATGTAACTATTGACCCAGGCTCTGCGACTTGCTACTGCTTGCTGTATCCTAAAGGGCCTGATTGAGCATGATTGAAGCCAGTGAGTGTTTTGCCTGACTTAACTGGGAGGAAAATTGTTCCCTAATTACCAATGGCTCAAATGAACCTTTCCTGTTGAGCAAATTATTAAATAATTATCTCAGTGCTCACTGGGCCTTCCTGTTCAACACTAAGGGTACGTCTAAACTACATGCCTCTGTCGACAGAGGCATGGAGTTTAGACGTACCCTTAGTGTTGAACAGGAAGGCCCAGTGAGCACTGAGATAATTATTAAATAATTATCTCAGTGCTCACTGGGCCTTCCTGTTCAACACTAAGGGTACGTCTAAACTCCATGCCTCTGTCGACAGAGGCATGGAGTTTAGACGTACCCTTAGTGTTGAACAGGAAGGCCCAGTGAGCACTGAGATAATTATTAAATAATTATCTCAGTGCTCACTGGGCCTTCCTGTTCAACACTAAGGGTACGTCTAAACTCCATGCCTCTGTCGACAGAGGCATGTAGTTTAGACGTACCCTAAGTATTGGCCACAGTCAGACAGGAATTACCATAGTCTTTAGTCAAGTTAGTCAAGTAGCCTATGCGTCTGATTACCTACTGTGCTATAACTAGTGGAGAGCCCAAAAGTAGTGATAATGGGCATACTGGGTTAAAAGCTCAGTGTAAAATTTAGGTCAAAGCGACTCCAGGTTTGAATACTCTGTGAAACTCTTGGAAAAATTCCCGAGGGGCTGTTAGAGGAGAGGACCTCATCATTCTGAAAAGCTGCAGTGGCATGCCATATCGGAGTTTGACTCAGCCCAAGTGACCTGGCAACCGATAGCTGAAATTAATTTACAAATCTGATTTTTTTCCCTAGAGTGTGCCAAAATGTACTAAAGAAACACTGTGTGAGAATATTCATCAGAACAAGGAAGCAAGTGATACTGAAATGGCGGACTTTGGAGGTAAGACTTCTTTATAGCACTTGATTTTAATTACAGAAGAATTACTGCCCAGTTTTTCCCTTGAGGTCTAAATATTCATTTAGCCCAGTCTTAACTAGGATATACACTGACAGCGTAATTGAGGTATGTATATACATACTGTATCCTTGCGTTATATCCTGTTCACCACAGTAAAGACTATTCTCCACTTCTCTTTGACAAATAAGCATTAGAGTCATTGCTGAAGTACCTGCTAACTTTGCTACAGTTAATTATCTGTCAGGGTTTGTGTGGATTTCTTTTTTTATACAATACCAAGTTTTCAATATGTATAATTAGAAAAATAATTCCACAGTGGTGTACTTTGTCACACTTTTTTGTTTTTTGGTTCTGAAAATTAAAACTTTATATTTGACCAGAATACTTGAAAATATGAAAACGATCACAGCTCATTTTCACCATTATTGCATTTCTTTGATTTACTGTATGTAAGATGGAACAACTTTTTTCAAAAACAGACAGTGGAGAAATAAACATTACATTAGACTTTCAATCTAAAATATGATCATCTAGTGTGACGTCTTGGACATTACAGACCACAGAACCTCACCTATCCACTCCTCTAAAAAGTGCCAGTCTAGACGTGGATCTTTTGGAAAATACCGTATTTTCCGGCGTATAAGACGACTGGGCGTATAAGACGACCCCCTAATTTTTTAGTTAAAAGATAGGGTTTCGTCTTATACCCCAGCGCCCCTCTGCCTCCTTTGCTCCCGGTGTCCCTGGTCTGCTGGAGACCCGGTGTCCCTGGTCTGCGCCTGAGATGTCCTGCCGCCGGCTTCCCCCGAGGCTTTGCAAAGCCGCATACCCGGCGTATAAGACGACCCCCGATTTTGGGGGGATGTTTTTTAACATCAAAAGTTGTCTTATACGCTGGAAAATACGGTAAAGCCTTTTCCGAAAGATCCCTTATTCCTTATTTTAAGAGGAATAAGGGATCTTTTGGAAAAGGCTTTATTTTCTGAAAGATCCGCGTCTAGACTAGCGCTTTTTTCCGTCAAAGCTCCAAGCCGGAAAAAAGTGGCAGCCATGTTTATGCAAATGAAGCGGGGGGGATTTAAATCCCTGCTTCATTTGCAATTGCGATGTGTCTAATTTGCATCCCTTTTACGGAAAAGGGATGCAGTCTAGACACAGCCCTTGAGTCTTCTCTCGTAAGATGGGTTTTCCACTTCTCTGATCATCTGAGTAGTCCTTCCCTACTCCGGTTCCCATTTAAATTAATCTTTCTTAAGTATCGGAGACCAGAGTTGCACAGAGTATTCCAGATAAGGACTCACCAGGGCCTTCTACAATGGTGCTAGCTCTTCCCTACTTTACTAGAAATACCTTGTCTGATGCATTCTATGATTGCATTAGCCTTTTTCATGGCTGCATCACACTGGCAGTGCATAGTTATCCTGTGATTGACCAATACACCCAGATCTTTCTCCTCCTCTGTCACTTTCAATTGATAAATCTCCAGATTAAAATTCATGTTACTCCCTAAGATCCTTAAATCCCTTACACTTTGTATTATAAAATTTCATCTCATCTATATTATTCCAGTTTTCAAGGTGGTCCAGATCTTCTTTTATGTATTCCAGTCCAGTTCTCTACCTCGATCTCTGCCTCTCCCAACTTTTTGTCATCTGAAAATTCTGTTAGCATATTCCCACTTACTGTGCTAAGGTCATCAGTGAAAATGTTAAATAAGATTGGTCCCAAGACTGATCCCTAAGGAATTCCACTAAGTAACCTTCCTTCAGTCTGGCAATTTACCTTTCAGTATGACCTATTGCCAGTGCTTTTTTTTTGATGGCACGGCTCCCAGTGCGGCGCTTTGGCGCTCAAAAAATTAGGACTTATGGGAACTTTCAAAAAAGGATTTTTTTCTGAAAGAACCCCATCTAGACTGCAGTTTTATTTTCGAAAAGCCCTTTTTCAAAAGACCGTATGGCCGTCATTAAACAAAGAAGTGCAGGAAATTCAAATCCCAGGACCGTACGGCCGTCATTAAAGAAGTGCAGGAAATTCAAATCCCAGCTTCATTTGCAATTTCGATCTGTCTAATTTATATCCCTCTTTTGAAAGAGGGATGTAGTTTAGACATACCCTATTAGTAGAACTTTGTCCTCCAGTCTATATCAGGGAAGTTAGCCATCCATAATCACACAATCCTCAATAGTATTTATTTCATTAAAGATATTAAAGGTTATTATCCATATCCCAGATTGGATCCTAGGGGTCTATGGCATACTCCAAACACTATCATACTAGAGCCTGTGTTAGCTTTTGCTCCCAAAGTGATTTTGACCCGGATACTTCATCCATTCCATCATTTCCAATTTCTTTTCAGTCTGCCTTGTCATTGATGTACAATACTGTTGCTCCACCTTTATCTTTATTCTGCCTTTCCTGAACAGCACATGCCCATCCATACCTGTACTCCCAGTCATGAATACTGGGTTTCTACTACTGTGTTTCTGTTATTCCTATAATAGCTGGTTTTACTGTGCCAGTAGTTCTAGTTCCTACATTTTGTTACCCATGCTCTTGTATTGGTATACAGACAGTTTAGTTGTTTCTAGTTGGCTTCAGCCAAATTCCTCACGGAATTAGGTATGTCTTTGCTAATATTGCCTACCTGATCATGCCAATACCACTGACTGTAACAATCTTTCTCTTAATGTCCACTCTCCTACCCTCTGTCATGCATTTCTCCATTGCAGTATCCTTGCTTTCATTTTCCTCCCACTCAATGTAAGAATCAGTGTGAAGACTACATGAGCCTCTCCTAGAAGTTTCCCTTGAGATCCTAATTTAAAGCTCAGTTAATCAGTTGTGCCAACCTCCATCCCAGAAGTTCATTTCCCTCCCTACTCAGAGATAGAGTCCATCCCATGAGAACAGTCCTCCATCCATGAATGCCTCCCAGTAATTGGTGCTATAGGGAGGAGTTTGGAATCTTCAATCGCTTCTTTAAGGCATCTGTTGTTCATCATAATCTTGTCTCGCCTTCATTCTCCTCCTCTAGGGACAGGTAGATTCCCACTGAAGATCACCTGAGCCTCTGTTTCTTTGTATCTACCCCAGGTTGGCACAGTCTCCATTGATGTATTGCAGTAAATATCTAGTTGTGTCATTTGTCGCCCTGTAAAGGATAGTTAGTGGATTCTTTCCTTCTGGTTAGAACCCTCTTTAACCTCAGGCCCACATCCCATGTCTTATCTCCCAGTAGATAGCACACCCTTCTGTTCTTTAGATCAGCTCTGGTGACAGGCCTGTCTATTCTTGATTGGCAGTCCCCAGTCATGTAGAGTTGCCTCTTCCTGGTGCAGTGCTGACTTTCTTTTCTTTCTGGCTGTAAGTCCTTTTGTTTTTGTTCTCACATGCAATCTACTATAGCTCCTCCTCTGTCCTCTGGGAGCTCTGAACTCTGGCTGTATTCATTGACTCTTCCCCTTTTAATGTCATACTGTGGTTGAATATCACATGCTGCAAAGAGCTACAGGAGATTCGTTAAAGAGCAGCTTGCGGCTCACAAGCCAGTCTGAGTATCACTGGATTGGACTACCTTACATTGAGATGCTGTTAGATTGTTCTTTAAACACTTTGACTAAAACAGAACAAATATATTCTTCGCTTGTAACTGTGTATTTTATTCTGCTTTTAAAGTGAAATGTAAAAAGTAAATTGCTGCTATATGATGTCAGGGACTGAAACTCACCTTTGAAAGCTAGCACACAGAGTACTTTAAAAATTCATTTCCACTTTGCTTCCCAGCAGACTTACAGTCTAACTGCAACCAGTCATTAGAGGAATCTCACTGGGGAAGTGTTGGCTCCATGAAGCAGATCCCCAGCTTTGCAAAATCTCTATGAGGAAGCCACAAGGAACAACACTTTTCTAATGTGTTCTGTAAATGCCAACAGTTTGTCCATCTCTGGTCAGAGACTGAGTCCCCCTGAAAGAAGAAGGATGGTTCCTTCTGTAGATGAATCCGACAATTGTTTTAAAAGGACAGCACTGGCAAAAGAAGTGGAACTGCAACTTTTTCTTCGCCAAAACAAAAGGGCTCCTCAGAGCCAATTTCAACACCAAGTTCCCTTGCAGTCTGATACATCATGTCTTCCGCTCTGAGAAACAGCACTATAGTGTGATGCACTGAAGGCAGACTGCTCAACAAACAGTTCAAGGTACTAATATAAAGACTTTAGCAACTGGGAAGTAGTCGAAAGTACAGCTCTAGAAAGGCAGAAGAAATGGCTTTCAGGAAAGCAGATATCCTGGTTACAAGTGGCTTGTGAGAGATAAACAGTTTTGATACACAATATCTTCTGGGAAATTGCTGGATTCCTGACTTTATGCAATTCATTTAAGGGGTACTAGAAGAAGAGGGCAGAAAGGGTGTAGCCACTTTGAGGACTTTGACAATTTGTATCCATCTTTACCTCCTCCTATTCAATGTCACCCTCTCTTCCTGTTCGTACTCTTCACATGAGTAATCATCTCCTAGGGTGTGTCTACACTACATGGCTCCCTCAATGGAGCCATATAAAGTAGTTTACTCGGCATAGTCAAAAAAGCGGTGATTTAAATAATCCCCGCTTCATTAAAATAAAAATGGCCGCTGCGCTGTGCTGACAATCAGCTGATCCGGCACAGCGCAGCAATCTAGACGTGGTGCAATCGACAAGGGAAGCCTTTGTCAACCACTCCAGTAAACCTCACCAGAGCGGTCAACAAAGGCTTCCCTTGTCGACTGCGCCACATCTAGATTGCTGCGCTGTGCTGGATCAGCTGATTGTCAGCACAGCACGGCAGCCATTTTTATTTTAATGAAGCAGGGATTATTTAAATCCCCGCTTCTTTGACTATGTCGAGTAAACTACTTTACATGGCTCTGTCAACGGAGCCATGTAGTCTAGATGCACCCTTACTGCCTGTCTATACCCCATCATCTACCCTATCATAACTGTAGGTGGGTGGCCATCAAGTGAGAGAGAGGACTTTGTGATTTGCAAATCATAGCAGCTCTTGCTAGAGAAGTAATCGATGGGCACAAACAGCTGGGCAGTGAGAATGAGGTTATTCGTTTGCTGTGAGAACCTAGCTGAAGGGTCAAAGAGCATTTTAAAGAGGTTGTGAGAGAGGGCACTAGACCAGAGAAGAAATAGGTTTGGGGGAACAGGATGGGCAAGGCAGCTAGGATGAATATTCATCCTTTAAGTAACATGACAGGTCTCTGAGATTCCAGAAATCCATTTTCAATTAGCACAATTTCAAACCCTGTTAAAGAAAAGAACTTGTTTCTCAAAATTATAGCTACAAATTTCCAAAAGTCCAGTTAGAAACATTGGCCCAAACCCCGTTTTTGGAAGAAAATGGATAAAGTTCTCTGTACTTGTATTTTGGACTATTTCACACTTTCTTAAATAGCTTGTTTTATTTATTCAAAAAAGTGATTTCTTCCCTAATTTGCTTTTGATATTGAAACATTTTAATGAACTCTCAATTAGTGTGGTGGTCTCTAAATTTCTTTTTAATGTCAATCTTCATTTTGAAAATGTAAATGCACCTATATTTTTCACAGGGAAAAGGGCATATTTGATATTTACTGTATATGAACAAAATATATTTTATATACAAAGAGTAGTTTTGCTGGTTTATTTAAATTTTATTATTTGTATGAGTTGAAGTGAATTGGTCTAAAGGAATGTGGTCATCTAATAAACTCAGTTTTTTCATATGAATTGTAAAAATGTTTTAAAGTTCAAACTTATTTTATTAAACAACATTTCTGTTGCAAAAAGGAGGGCAACAGAATTTTGCGTGTGGTTGATAATATCTAAAATACTAGATAAATTTGTCACAAGCACATTAGTTGCAGTCAAAGTATAATCCAACTGCTGCATGACTGTTCAACATCCATTTCACTTAGTGGATAGAGCAAAGGGCTGGGACATGGGGTTCTGTTTCCAGTTATGATAGTGGCGTACGTGGTGACCTTAGGCAAGTCACGCCCATGCTCCGTGCCTCAGTTTCCCCCTCACTCAAAAGGGGATAATGATTCTGACCACTTTTTAGTGGCCTACGTGGTGAGTCACGCCCATGCTCTGTGCCTCAGTTTCCCCCTCACTGAAAAGGGGATAATGATTCTGACCACTTTGGCAGAGTGCTTTGAGATTGGCTGATGAAATGTGCCCTCATAAGACCTACGTGTTATTATTAGATGTACTTGGAGGATACACTTTGTGGTTGTCTCTAAAAAAATGAAATTGTAGAATCACAGATAGATTAATTTATTCATAATGTTGTTTTATGTTTTTACAGATTTAATATTTTATGATGTACTTTTGGGGATATTTTAATCTTTTTTAAAAGACTACATTAAAAACAGAAAATAACCACCCATCAGGCACCTATGCCTGTAATGACTTCCTGCACTCATTTTCAGATCTAGTTTTTAAAAATGCTCTTGTCAGCTCCAATCTCTGCACCAACACGAGAAGAAAGAGGCATATTTTCCGGCAAGTGTTTAGTTCTTCTGAGATACCAAACTTGAAGGGCTGAAGCTACACTGGCTTTCAAATAGATTCCAGATGCAGCTCAATGGGTTATCTTAGTGTAACCCTGTATGCTTTGAGTACTGGCTATTAGAGCTAATCTGTGTCCTTGTGTTCCATCTGAAAATAAACTGGTTGACAATGTTATTATTCTCATAATCATCATTATTATTTTTCTACTACATGAACATAGTCAGGATCAGGACTGCATTGTGCATAGTCTCAAAAGAAGATGCCTCAATTTGCTGTATTATGAATCCCAACTATTAAAAGTCATGAGCCAGATGCCAACAAACATGGTATTTTTTAAATGTTACATTTTGCATTCTGTTTGTTTGCCTTCATGTTTATGAGCCTTTAGGCTACATATTTTCAAGCTTTTCTCTGCAATCAGGAGGGCTAGAAATGAACTTCTACAATGAAAGTTGAGATATCTGCAGAAGCTCATGATTTTAAAGAAACATTTTTTTTTAAAATGAATGAAGATGCCTATCTCCTAGAACTGGAAGGGATCTTGGAAAGGTCATCAAGTCCAGTCCCCTGCCTTCACAGCAGGACCAAGTACCATCCCTGCCAGATTTTGCCCCAGATTCCTAAATGGCATTCTCAAGGCTTGAGCTCACAACCCTAGGTTTAGCAACCTGATGCTCAAACCACTGAGTTATCCCTCCCCCAGGGATATAAAATGGTAGATGGCTGATGGCAGCCTGTTAGGGCCAACAAGCCCAAAAGCATTTCTTAAAGGGGCCATGCTGGTTTTTTTTTTTGTTGTTTTTTTTTGCTTAATAACTCTCGGGGTCCTTTTTTTTTTTTCAACAACTTTGATCTCCCCCTTTTTTTTCCTCAACAGAATTTTTTCCTGGTGGTTTTGGGCAACCCTAGGAGGGAGGTTCGATATTTTTGGTTAAACCATCTGGCAACCCTATGGACCAGAGAGGTCCAAACTGTACTGCTATAATCTAGCTAGCCATCTTGTCTTAGTTGTTGCAATTTGTCTCTATGTGTAAAATAGTCTGTAAGAGCCAATAGGAAGTTTGGCACTACACAGCGTATGTCTTCATGGCAGAATTCACTTGAGTGTTGTCCCCCTTTCATCCACATACCAATAGTCCCACAGAGGATAGGGATATCTTAAATGCTCGTTGCTTGGCTATGGGGAGAGAGGAAGCTTAGAGCCCAGGCTCAGCTTTCACTGTAGACTGCCTGCTTTGCAGCAAGGAGGTGGGCTAAATCATTTAGCCTTGTTAATCCTGTACTGCATTTGCAGATGTCCCCCTTTGTGCCCAGAAGGCACAAGAGTTCTTCCACGATTTACTGAGAAAGAGAGAGAGAGAGAGAGAGAGAGAGAGAGAGTCCAGAAGGCACAAGAGTTCATCCACGATTTACTGAGAAAGAGAGAGAGAGAGAGAGAGAGAGAGAGAGAGAGAGAGGTTCAGTTTACTGCAGCACAAAGAACCATGGAATATGGCCCCAGAAGTCATATGAATGCAGCCCCAGTGAGAACTCAGTAACACAGATACAACTTTGCACTGTGTAGCTGCTCACACACAAGCTAGGGTCTCCTGGATGCTCAGACACAGGAGCCAAGTGCCCAAGTTAACTCTGTGGCGAAGCCACACCCATAGCATTCTGCGTGTTGTATGTTGGGGTTAAACTTCCTGATGAAACTTCACCCTTCCTACCACTCAGGCCCACTGCAATGCCCGTGTACTCAGTCTCTGGCCCAAGGAGGTGGATTCAGATGATTTGTTTTGGGGATGGTGTCTTCAGGTTTTTTGTTAGTGTATCTGCAATATGTGTCTATGTTGTAGTTGTGCCTGGCGTGGGATCAAGTATCAATTATGAACAGAAAACTATTTTCAACACTTTGGGGGGAACACACATCCAGTTAATAATATAATAGCTTTCTTTCACATCAGCAACATGGAACATAGTTTTGCTATATAGGCAAGTGAGCTCAGTACAGAGTTAACTAGATAAAATGAAAGGACCTGTGTTATATAGGGGGTCAGAGTAGAAGATGTAATGTAATAAATTTTAAAATATGCAAATTTTAATCTAAAAATGGGGAAGCTATTGAATTGACCTTTTCATCTAGTTATTCACACTGTATCAGTTTAAGAAGATTACCTAGTTTGAAATGCATGGTGAGTTCATGGCAATGTTGTTGTCATTTTGCATATTTGTTAGGTTTTCTCATTGTATTATGTTCCTGTAAAACAGCCACAATTCCAGTAATTTCCTGCAATGCACAACACAAAAGTGCTCTACAACTGCTCAGGAATCCAAGCTTTCTGGATGCATTCAAATTCCATTTGTATTAAATGAATAGCAAAATCTCTTCTATTGTGCGGGAGCCTAATTCATCCCAATTTTATGTAGGGCTGTCACTGCAGGAAAAATATTTGACTCTCTCTCCTTTCAAAAATTACTTTCAACTTAAAAATCAGGGATTCTTAGCAGTCAATAAATGTATTCATGTCAGTGAAATCTTTCTATCCATCTATTTGGAAATGCAAGCACATGGGACAAGTCTACCTTTGTTAATGAGCCACTATTTTCTTAATAAGAATAATGCAGTGATAGAAAATTTGGGTAATGTTTTTTTCTATCACAAACAAATGTAAATGAGTGACCCAGCATTCCAGAGAGGATGTGGAATAGGGATGTGATAGGGTAAATAATTAACCAATGAGCCTGAGCTCATTGGTTAACCTTCCGTAAATAATTAACCAATGAGCCTGGGCTCATTGGTTAACCTTCATGGTTACATGCAGGCTCCCTCCCCTATGCTGCTGCCTCTATATCAGAGGCAGCAGCGCCGGGTGAGAGGAGGGCAGGCAGGAACTTGTCCTCACAAAAAGCCTTCTTAAAAGCCGGCTCCCTGCAAGAACTGATGCAGAGGCAGCAGTGCAGGAAAGGGAGTAGGCAGGAGCCGGTGTGTGCAGGGAGCCAGCTTTTAAGC